ATAATGCGACTCAATACTATGCAAATACATGTGGTACCATTGGAGCAGAACTCCCATCTCAAAAATTTGCCTATTAATAGAGCCATCAACAAGGCATAAGCCTCCATCTCAATATTTGCCAAAACAGGCCATCTCAACGAGCATAAGCTCCATCTCAAAATGCAATGTATGCGACACAATCATGAATGTAATAACAACACCACAATCGACAACATCTCAATACAACACCATCGTTGGCCAGGCCTACATCTGAAAAGTATCTCATCATCTTTTCATCAACATCATTCATCATAAATCATCACACATCATATATATATATATATATATATATATATATATATATATATATATATATATATATATATATATATATATATATATATATATATATATATATATATATATATATATATATATATATATATATATATATATATATATATATATATATATATATATATATATATATATATATATATATATATATATATATATATATATATACACATCATAATTCATCAAACAAAATCTCATTAACATCATCTCATCAACAATTCAGTCGTACAGTAATACCACTGCATTCATCAATTTCACAACATTGGCCATAGGCCTATACAAGATATTGCTTATAATTAATTAACCAACTAAGGCTTACTTCTAAATCACTAAATCCCTACATACTACTATTCTGTAATATTACATTGTTATTATTATTAATCCTACTGTTACAAATCAAACAGCAGCCTCTAAGTATCTCATCTTCATTCTTCTTCATAAAAACCAACATAACGATCAACACGGGAACTAACTCTAATCCTAAATTGGCTATTAGGATTACACTTCCTATTATTCATTTTAATCCTCAAGAATAAAGCTCATCGCGTTAACTATTCAACGCTTCGAATGACACCTCAAACGGAGTCTGAAAACTCAAGTTACAACATTTTCTAAATGATTATGCCAAAAAAAAAACAGACAACATGGGTCGATGCATAACTCCTTAGATCGACGTGTACTGCACTGAACTCACAACATGAGTCAACACATCCTTTCTTGGATCGACTCATACTGAGTCTAACACACAGCATGTATCGACACATGCTCCTATGTATCGACTCATCCTGAGTCTAAAAGTCCTCATGTATCGATGCAAAACCTCTTCATGTCGACTCATCCTGAGTCTCTAAACCTTCTTGTATCGACACATCATGTTTGGGGTCGACGCATACTGCTCTGTCCTGCATGATTTCTGCGATTTTCTCTGCATTTTCACTACAGGTTCCATACTTTAAGCCCTAAAACTTAATCTAATCATGGATAATCATCACTTACAGTTATCCTATAATTCTACATCGATTACACAACATCGAAACGTCATCATTCATCTATAATTCATCAATTTCATCATACCATATCATATACATTCAATTCATGAACAAGACAACAATCACCTCTAACCCCACATACCAATTATCATGAACCCAATTATAGAGTCAGAACTCCACCCTTACCTTGGATTGAAGGTCGCTCTATAATCTTCCGGTCGAAACCTTGTTCTGCCGTTTTCCCCTCTTTTTCCAGTAGCTTCACGTTTTTCTTTTCAACCCTTATTCTTCTTACTGCTTCTTCTTTTCTATTCTTTCTAACAACAATAAAATAACCTAATATTCTCTTAACTCCTTATTGGGCTTAAACTAATACACCCCCTTATTACTACTTCTATTCCTTTAAAACAAGCCCACATCAAACAATATTATACTTCTAATATTATTTCTCCACTTAATAAAATAATTAAATCCAATTAATCACAACATATCTTCACAAATATTCCAAAAATAATTTAATTAAATAATTAATTAAATTATGGGCGTTACATGAATCCTCCGCCGGATATGACCATGGCAGAGGGAAATCCTTCCCAGGTGCTGCAAGTGGAGATGGGTGCATCCTCCTTGTAGGGGATGATGAAATCCCCTGGTCGGGAGACATACATGGCTACTTGCAAGGCGACAACTTCGTCAGAGGGTGGGGACACCTCCTTAGCCTTTTTGGTGTCGTGGACGTCTCGTCGGGGAGTCTCGCTCTTGTTGGTGTATTATCTCAGACGATTTTCCCAGATGAGAGTTTCGATGGCATCCTTGAGATGGATGCAGTCTTCTATGACGTGACTGTGACTCATGTGGAAACAATATACTTGGATTTTTCCATATTGGGTTTTGGAGGAGTCAGCTTGGGAAGTCGAACTCCAACTTGCTTGAATTCAAACTTTATACACTCCACGAGGATCCAGTTGTGAAGGACGGTCAACAAAGTATATTCAGTGAAATGTCTTGTGGGGCTCATGTGCTCGCGAGAGTTGCGAGGCCAGTCCTCCCTTCTCTTATATCTTCTGCGATGAGGAGCTCTGGTGTCGTCATTTTTTTGGATTCTATTTTCCCGACTCCTCGAGTCCCGAGCGATTTTAGCTGGCTCTTTTTCTTCGTACGTGATGTACGATCGGGCCTTATGGAGGAGCTCGTCCAACGATTTAGGAGTCTCGATGTCGACCACCTTTCTGAAATCGCTGCCCAGGCGCAGTCCCCTCTCGAGCATATACCTCTTCATACGGTTAGTCATGGGGACTTGGATAGCCTCACGGTTGAACTGCTCAATGTATGCTCGGAGGGGTTTGTCACTCCCCTGAATGATTGCCTTGAGGGATGCCTCAATCTTGGGGGGTCATCGAGAGGCTGGGAAGTTCCTAACGAATTGAGTCTTCAGACTCCTCCACGAGGTGATAAACTCTGGGGCGAAACTTTTATACCATGTCACGGGAGTCTTTCACAGAGTCGTGGGGAACAATCTACACTTGATGGCACCCCTGATGTTGTAGAAGTTGAGCATCGCCTCGAAGCTCTCGAGGTGATCGTCGGGATCGGTAGCACCATCATAGGTCGCCAAGGGTGGAGGTTTCTCCATCCCTTTAGGAATGGGGCCCTCCATGATTGCCCGTGATAGTGGACCTCTGGGGTCTTTATTGCTTCGGTCGGGGGAATGTGACGGGGAGGAGTCGAATCGAGGGTCTCTATGGTGTGGAGAATTTCTCGGCCGACTTCTTGTCTTCTTAGAATGATCCTTGCCCTTGTTTCTCTTGCGAGCAAGGGATCTTCGCTCTTTGAGCAGCGGGGTGTGATCGCGCTTCTTGGCAATTTCAGCCTGAGGTCTCTATAGCCGAGGGCCTCTCCCGGTACGACGAGGAGAGAAGCTCCGTGATTCCTCCCGTTGATGTATCCACGAGGGAGATCTTGAACGAGTCTCTCGTCATCGCGGGGACGGGCTATGAGAGTCACGTCTTCGGTGTCTTCTGGGGGAGCGTAACCGATGGGTCTTCTTCAACATTCTAATCCGTTCTTCATGTGTGAAGATTAGGTAGTTGGTCTGATTGATCGCCGCGAAGAACTCTTGGGTTGTGGGATCAACATTGGCGGGCACCGATATTTCCTGGTACACTGCGACTTCCTCGACCTGTCGGTGTGGATTGTCGAGAGGATGCTCACGGGTGGAGGATGAGGCAGTCCTTCTATCCCAGCTGTCATGTTGGTGAATGATAGCCTCGTTGTTATTGTAACCGAGGTCGGGGAAGTGAACGTTCTCGTCGCCGTTGTTGCGTTGGTCGACCATGATGATTGGAAAGTTGAAAGAGTTTGCTTTGATCTTAAGTTAGAGAAAGACGAGGAAGCAATATTTCCACAGACGACACCACTGATCATACCTGACCAAAATGGATCGTCGATGACCTGCAAAACTTGGACTAAACGGCAGTTGAAAGTGAAGTGGGGGAGGGTACCTGCAAGACACTCCGATGTCAAAGTGAGGTTTGAAGCAAAAGTGCAAATAGAGAGTTTAAGTGAGAAAAATAATGTACCTGACCGTCTAGTGAATGATGGTATTTATAGCCCCCAACATCGGGTCAAGGTCTCCACTTGGGCTGGATGCCAAGTCACATAATGGAGACTGTCAGGATCCTACGTGGGTAGATGAGGCTAGTTCGTGGTCCCTATCCTGGTTCAACTTCTCCACGATTCTCAGAGGTGAAGACCCGTTCTTTTTGGGAGCAGGATGACTGCGTGAGATCCGGAGGAACGTTAGCCATGTTTTCTCGACGTGCCCATGGAGGAGAGATCCTCGACGTGTCCTTGGAAGAGAGATCCTCGATGTGTCCTTGGAGGAGAGATCCTCGACAAATCCTTGTGGGAGATGCTCCTCAATGGTTATTGCGTTTGGTTCACTGCGGTGGACTTGCCCGACTAGGGACTAATAGCAGGTCTAGTTTCCAACAGGTTATTGTGCATCTAGTAACATTGGGTCGGGCTTTTCCTGACGGTAGATTAAACGTCGATCCAATCCATAACAAAATAGTTTTCAATTTTTAGAAAATAACAAGGACTAAAATTAAATACATAAAATTTTTGCAGGGATTAAAATATGTCATTTTTTATAGAATTAAAAATGAAATTTAAAATATTTATAAGGACCAAAAAAATATATACACATATTTTAAAAAAATATACTTTTTCAATTACCATTAATTATAATTGAACTACTAGGACAAAATGTGTTTGTAATTTAAACACAAATGAAAATAAATATGTGAGTTAGAATCAATAATATAATTCGGTTGAAAAAGAAAATGTTGAACATAAAATACTTCCAAATTTAATGAGTTGGAGGACAAAGATAAAAACTTAATTTTGTGTTTTTCGAGAACATCTAATTTTTTATATATTATAGATTATAGATAAATTAAATTAAATTTGAACTTTTCAAATTAATAAAAAAAATCAAAGCTGGAGGTTTTTCTTTTCCTTCAGCAGTATTAGTACACGTTAAAAGACAAATACTAGTATTAAATTACCCAAGCGAAGAAGAAATAGTGTATTATTAAATTAAATAATAAAAAGAATTAAATAAAACGAAGATAAAAATGGCGAAGAAACGAAATCGTGCAGTGAAATTGAGTAATGGGGGTAGGGTTGTTATTGGCATGCCACGGATTGGTCACAGCTTTGGTGGTTGTTTCTTTTCTCTGCGGTCGATGGCCAATTTTCGAAGGAACTTTCATTCAACGCATTAACTACTTCATCACTTTCGGTGCTTACGATTACTTCCTGTAATCTATAACTAACTTTCTCTCTCTATCAATATTTCGTTTTCATGAATTGATGATTTCTGAATCTCACTTTTTCGCTTTCGTTTTCAGGCGTTTTGTTGGCGCTGTTTTTGGCTCTAAGTGTACGGATGCGGTGCTTTCTGTTGAATATTACTGCTGCGATCGTCCTAATCCTCTCTTACAGGTTTCTGATTTGTTTATTTGTTGATTGTGATGGTAGATTCATGTTCATTGTATTGTAAATCTTAAGATTTGTATTGATTCACACTCAATTGTGTAAACTTAGAACATGTTTGGATGCTAGCACTGACACCTCTGAAAAAGGCATGTAGTGATTACGTTTAATTTATTATTATTTTTAAATTATTACTGGTGTCGACGTGTTAGTGTCGGTGTCGTGTTTCTCGTGTGTGTTTCATAGGTTTATATACACAATTCTATGGAGAGTTTATAGAAAGAACTTATGACATGTTTATAAACTATTTTCGATTTATTTTTATAAGTTCTATAGGATAGTTTATGTAAATAGGTTAGAGTTAGTGTTTGAAAACAATTTGGTTTGATTTTTTATTATTGAAATAAATTATACATAAACACTTATATGGTTTAGTCCTTGTTTGTTATGGATTATAAAAAAGTGATGTGTTGGTATTTTATAATTTAGAGATTTTTTAAAGAGATTTTTAATTTTAAGGAAAGCAGAAGCTGTTTTATGTTTGTATGTCGGAATGAAAATCACTTAAAAAAAAATCAGTTATCTGTATGTTTGGTTTTACGGTTGGACCACTTAGAATTGATTATGGAGGTGTAGAATTAATTTTGACATGTTTGGTTGTTCTCGAGTAGAATTGATTCTGGTTTTCAGAATTGATTCTACTTGAAGCTAAAATTTGTAGCTTTTGAGTCTAAACATGATTTTTACTTGAAATTTAGTGTTCAACTCACTTTTAGTTAGAATTAATTCATTCATAATCAATTTTTTTCACCACAGAACCAAACACATGCTATATAAACTGATTTTCTAGAGAAGCTACTAAAAACAGCTCATTTGAAGTGGTTTTAGAATTTTTTTAAGATTCTTATTTTTTTTTTAAGTTGTAACAGACGTAATAAAACTTTTCAAAAAGTGATTCTTTTTAGAAAGAAATTGTCACAAACGGGACTATAAGAAACACGAGTGAGATTATACCAGATGATTTTGTAAATATTTATCGAAACATCATTGTTATTGTGTTATGGCTGTTGGTTTGTTAAACAAGTTTGTGTTTATTGCAGATTATATATCTTGTGATAATCAGCTTTACATATTATTTCGTTGCCAGCTCTTCCTTTGTGTATATCCCTGGATACTATTTAAGTGCAACTCACAAGTAGGGTTTCCGGAACGCCGTAATTGTACTCTTTTCTTGCTTTATGTTTTCTTCACCATTATTCTATCCTGAATTTTGTTAGACCTTAGGTACACAAGCTTCTTCGCAGCTGCTGTTGGAATTCTGCTTTTTCTCTTGACCAGCTTTTGTGATCCTGGCACAATAAAGGCTGAGAATGTTTCTCAATATCTTGCTGCTTATCCGTATGATAATATCATTTTTTCAGAGAAAGAATGTTCCACTTGCAAAATTCCAAAGTGAGTTCGTTGCTAGTTTTGAATTTGGTGAAATATTGGAATATATCTAAAATATTGTCTTAATTTTGTTTGTAGACCTGCTAGATCAAAGCATTGCAGCATTTGTAATCGCTGTGTTGCACGATTTGATCATCACTGTGGATGGATGGTTAGAAATTCTTGAAATTTCCCATCTTTATAAGATTACTTAAGTGGCTCTTATTTAATAATTTGTTTTGCTTGCAGAACAATTGCATAGGGGAGAGAAACACCCGGTACTTCATGGCTTTTCTTTTATGGTGAGTTCTATTCTATATGTGTTGCATCCGCTTGTCATTGATAGAGTTTATAAGTTATAACAGAAACTTTATTGAATTCCATACAAAAAAAGCACAAACACACATAACTGTCCTAGTCTTACTGTATGACTACCGTAACACACAATTAATAACTACAAAATAACTGTTCTGCCATATAACTGCCTTATTACTTATTGTGCCCCTATTTTCTTATTTCTCTTAGAGTACACAAGGCACATTTTAGGCCTGTATTCTGCGTGATCCAGAACCTGGTCCATATTTTGACTTTGGACTCTTAACACTACACCTGTAGCCTTGTCCCTAAAGCTAAGATTAGGAAGTTGAGTCTATAGAGGAGTGTGTTCTTCTTCCCAAGTCCCGAGTGGTATTATCCATGGCCTTGCCTTTCTACACCTGACTAACCAGATTTGCGAATCACCTCGCCATCTTGAGAAACGCCTGATACCACTCGACAAGTCATATGGAAGGAAGTTTAATTGGACTGAATCGGAAATTTTGTTTTATGATTGATCAGTATAATTATCAACACCTTCAAATTGGACCAGTTTCTCTTTGAATGCACATCCTTGTTTCTTATAGCCTCTCTAGTGAGACTTGAAGAATATGATCTACCCAGAACTTTGTATGCAACCTCACAATATTTGGCAATGATTTGTGAAGGACCATAATAGTTTTTCTGCCAATTTCTGGTGGATCCTTCTAGAAATGTGTTTTGTCTTTTGAGCCTCAATTTAAGAAATACCCATTCTCCCATTAAATTGTACTAGTCTCATTTTCTAGTTCTCACATATTTTCATATGGTCTGTCATGTGTCCTAGCTAGATTATATTTCCTTTGTACCGGAGTTTCATCCTTTCAAATAACTCCCTTGACAATACTTCAACCAGTGTTGTCGATGGCGGATGGCGGTCCATGGCGGGGAGCCAAAATCCCGCCATACCGGCCGCTTTGGGGCGCCGTTATTGCGGATTATGGCGGAAAAACCCGCAATAGCGGCTGATATTTACCATAGCGGAGAGCCCAAAAACCGCCATGTATATCCGCCATAGCGACGCAATTTGATAACACTAACTTCAACTCAGTCTCATTCTTCAAGAAACCAGTGACAGTAGGAGGCTTCCTTTCATAGACTACAAAAGGGTTTTGGCTAATGGAAATTCTAATGAAGTTGTGTACCGAAATCCAGTCCACAGCACCCAATATCTGGGATGTTTAGCAGCTACATGTTCTAGACCCATTGGTTTTAGGGGTGGTGGAAAGAAATCATTTTAATCAAAGTATCCTGCAATATGAAAAGCTCTTTCTAGAATACCCGATGAATGCCGGATCTTGATTCGTGATTACTAATAGTGGATTTAAGAAGTCCATATAACTGCTCCATTAGACAACTCCATAACAGTCATAACATGTAACTGCCATGTTACTAATTCTTCCATATTATTTTCTTATTTAGGCTAGACTACACTACCCACAATTTAGACTTGTTTTCTGCATATTCTAGAACCTGGCCCACATTTTGATTTTGGGCTCTAACAGTTATAGTTAACAAAATGTATTTTTACGTGATTATTTTTTTTTTTTAATCTATCTTCTTTATATAAGGAGCTCCAGAAAGTAGGGAAAACTAAAACTTAAAAACCAAGTAAAAACTGAGAGATTTCCTTTCCTCAGGATAAAGTTATTGAGCTGGAGTTTGCGCAAAAACATGCGGCATCTTTGTGATTATCATATTGAAAACTCCTCACTGAAAAATCCTCTTATTGTTGATTTCTGGAAATTTTCATAATTTGGGTCTTCCTCTTGGTAAATCTTGTGTTTAAAACTATAGCCTTGGTGGCTATACAGTTGTGATGTGTTCCATCAAAGACTTTTTTATTATGCATCGAGTTACTTAGAGAAAGCATATTTATGCTGGAATGAATGGGATGCTTCATTTTCCTTTGACTCGGTTCTTTTCAATCACTGGATTTATTCAATCTGGGTGACGGAAATTTTATGATCATCTGGACAGAAATTTTACTTGGGCCACCGGTGTTATTGCTATGGCATAGAAATATGCAAAGTTTTTGTAATCCTCAGTTGCACTTTGTTAAAGAACACACATCTTCAATAGTGTTTCTTTCCCATTGAAACTGCTGTGGGTTGAATAATTCTTTTGTTATATCTTCAATGTGGTTTTCTGAACATGTGTTTTTTTAATTATACTATTTTTGCACCGTAAATTGTTTTCACTTAAGTTGTTTCCCTTCTTTGTAATAGGTAAAATAGATATTAAAAATCTAAATTCATTTCTAGTTTCCCACACATTCTGAACATGTGCTTTTTTAATTATACTATTATTGCACCGTAAATTGTTTTCACTTAAGTTGTTTCCCTTCCTTGTAATAGGTAAAATAGATATTAAAAATCTAAATTCATTTCTAGTTTCTCATAGTACTGCAAATTTTAGTGGCTGATTTCCTTTCTGGCATTGATATGCAATACATTATGCATTCTTCATTTTAAGTTCTTATTTGTGATTCTTTCATGTCTTGTAGGCATTTCCTTTTATGTATGTATGGAACAGTTGCTGTTTGTTTAATACTCGCAGGAAGACTAAAAGAATTGAAAGTTGTTTATATTCTAACAGGTAATATAGATTTACATGTAAAATATTCATTCCAAGATTATATTGTTTCTTTTACTGTTTTTGAGAATTCTTTTTTCATCTGAACTTTGCAGTTTATTATGGAATAGAAAATTCTTTTTGGGATTTAGCTCCCCATGTTGCACAGGTGAGGTGTTTTTAATACTTCTTCTTGATTGTCATGTATTTCTATTTTGACTTCCTATTTTCCATTTTAGTGGTTGTTGGGATCCTACAATACACAGATTCTTCTTATAGTGTTCCTTGCAATTGTTGGGATGCTGTTAGCTGGATTCTCTGGTTACCATGCAAAGCTTTGCCTTAGCAACACTACCACTAATGAGGTACTTTCTACATATGGCCTTTAAATAGTTGTGTAACTAAATTCTAGTAAATTATGAGGAGCCAGAAAATAGCAAGCTATTCTTTCTTTTGTTCATGTAAAACATAAAGCCTCACACTAGACCAAAAAATAAAAATAAATAAAGCCCCATACAGTAGGGATCTCGTTATTATGCTTATTTCTAGTCGAGTTAAAAATGTATGGATACCACTATGACCATTATTTGTAAGAATGCTAAACATAATATGTGATCTTGAAGTTGGCATGAACTGAAATGATATGAAGTATCTGATGTAAGAAAATGCTAAACATAATTTAGTGAATTACATTATTTGATCTCAATGTAAGTATATGTATATCTGTTTTTTTTTTCCTTTTCCTTTTCTGTATCATCCTTAGTAGCAGAATCCTTGCTTTCACAACCCTGCACAAACTGTGGACAATTTTCTTGGTTAGAAGTAAATAGTTCAGGTGTGGCCACTTGAATTCAGGTGTGGCCACTTGAATTCAGGTGGAACCGCCTATACAGTTTTGCTGGTTTGTGAAGGCAGGCTCGTGCAAGTACCATTGCTCATGGTATTTTATCATTATCCAATCTTCTTGGTGTTAGTGGCTTATTTAGCTGGAAAAAATGGTATTTTATCATTATCCAATCTTCTTGGTGTTAGTGGCTGCTGGAAAAATATGCACGTGCACTTATCAGAGGCACTAGTGACACTGGAATTCAATGCAACTAATGACTTCTTTCTGTATCACAGACTTTTAAGTGGCAAGATTACATGGACTGGCAGAGAAAGTTTAAAGAAGCGCAGGCCAGTGCGGCAGCGCTAAGACAAAGTATCAGTGGAATAAACGGTGAAAAAAAACAGCCCATATCGAGAAACAAATGGAAAGCATTCTTTCGAAGATCGCCTCTAGAGGATGTGGTAGTTGTTAAGAATAATGTTTATAATAAAGGCTTCCTTCACAATATTCAGGAGGTTATTTCACCTCTCTCTACAAGGCAGTCCTTTACACAAACAAAGTTGAAGGAGGTTATTTCACCTCTCTCTACAAGGCAGTCCTTTACACAAACAAAGTTGAAGTCTAGGTGAGTATGCTCTCAACACACATTTCCTTTTAGCTATTGAAGGTCTTGGTGGCTAAGTTGCACATAATTTTAAATGGGCATGTCTCTACAGTTCTTTAGACATCCCCATAATTCATTGTGAAAGCCAAAATATGGTATTAATTATGTTTAAGAGTTCAGGACTAGTTCTAGATTGAAAGTTGATTATTTGATAGGTTCGAGTGTCGGTGGATGTGTTGATTGAATTGTACTGTTTCGTATTAACAAAAGTAGAAATGTATACACCCTACACTACATTTTATATTTGTAACAAAAGATTTGGCTCATTTCACACTTAAGTATACTATAGAGAATAACTAATTAAGATTTTTTTTTTAAATAACTACTTTTTTTAAATAAAATTCTTAAATAACCACTTTTTCAAAAATTATCAAAGTAATCACTTTTCAAATAAAAAAATTGTCACAGAGGTCAAACCATTTTGTGTGGGCATGCATGTAAATTAGAAAGGAGGCCTCACACTGCATGACTTGTCCTCCTATGTAGTGTCATGCAGTGTGACGCATGCATGTATTTTAAGGAGGAGGCGCTATATTAAATGGCTTGACAGTTGTTATTAATTTTTTTAAAATAATAATAAAAGTAATTAATAATATTTTATATTAGAGTATGATTATCGGTGTTCTTTGAGAGTTCCTACACATTTATTAAAGAAGTTGTGTCAATAATAAATGGATATTTCACTTGTTTTCACGTTCCTGAACTAAAACACGTCTTCATACTAAAGCACGCTTCTACACTCCAATTAAGTGGGTCATGATAATAAATTAATAAATAAAATTGTAAGAATGTAGTTGATTTGTTTTAAATGTGGGATCCATTTTAGATTTTTTGATGAGTTACATGTATATTTGAGAATTGTAGATTGGTTGTTTAAAAAATTGAGAAGTGTGGAATAATATAAAAAATTATGTGGGTCCCATTTAAAGAACCCAAATGGGTGTGATGGATGTGGATGCTCTTAATATTTTAAATTGCACAATGCATAGATACATATTTTTATGGACGTCCCTCTCAACCTAAGCGTGTCTCTATATGACATAAACGCCTCTGCCTTTATCTCACCCCTTGCTTCAACATTCTTTGTTGAATTTTTCTCACCATACTCTGTTGAATTTTCTAAGGTGTTTGGGGTCTGTTTTGACTTGTTTGATGATGATGTGCTTGATGTGATGGCCTGATACATTAGGATCATACATCTCCTTGATCATTTCTTTCCACTGTGCTTCCAAAGAGATCGGTGTCCATGTTGTTGAAGTTTGGTCTTGTTGGTTGATAGAATTGGAATGTTGAATCATTTTGAAAACGAAGCAACGGTTCTTGAGGTGTTTGAAATCCGTATGATGGTTGAGTACTTCGATAGTGTGATGTTTGACTGTATGTAGGTTGTATGATATGGTAGAAAAGAGATGTATCATATGTGTCTTCGGTGTTGTGGTAAGATGCAGAGGATGCATATTATTGATGGTGGGTCGGGTCATATTTTTGGTATTGTGTTTGTGTGTGTGACATGAATTGATGACGAGTTTGGTTGGATGTGGTGGTGTATGGTTGTTCGGTTTAAGTGAGTTGACATTGTTGTTGGGTTTGATATTGTTGAGGGGTTAGATGTTGGGATTGTTGTTGGGCGTATGATGCAACTCTTTGGCGTGAATCGATCAAATATGTCTCATGAGACAGAAATAAATTTGTTGAAACTAATGTACCATGTCAAATATTGGAGAGTTAATTTTAAATCATCTTGCGAGATCGTCTCCCTTATGACCAATTCATGTCGATGCCTCCATTGACGATATTGATTTCTAGCGCAGTCTCTCAGATAATTAAATCTCCATTGGTAATCAACTCTAAGTAGATGTCATTGTCCCAAACACGTAGGGGGTCTAGGATACCCTGTTGCATGCTGAACTGTAGCTTCACACGATCATTATGGTGTATCTCCACAATAGTGAACTGATGAGCGTTGTTTTTGCAGTTCAGACTTCAACATCTGTTGGGTTAATCTCATGGTCGAGATCCTTATACAGCCTCTATACAAACTGTAGAGGAAAAGAGTGTTAATCTAATATTAATATTAAACTTAATTAACATATTGAAAGTGTTGTATAAAATATTTAAGTTTAATACCTCCTCGGGTCCAACATGATCAATAAGATTTCGGTAGACTACTATTGCGTTTTTAGAAATTTATTGTAATTCATTCCAGGAACAGTCCATCTGCATAAAAAATATGGGTAATAAATTAATAGATGTTGGTTATAGTATATAGTATGTAAAATTGGTGTTGTCGTAATCTTGCTTTGTAGCAAAAGGGAAGGCGAATGACCTTGTGTTGCGGGGGGCGAGTGTCGGCATTCTCGACCAGCACCATATCTAAAGCAAAAAGGTGCAGGAATAGAAAGAATAACTGTCGTTCGATGCATTTTTACACAAAGAACTATACAAATGAGTCAAAACAGCAGAGCCCTAATTATATGTGTTTATTTTATCAAAATGTCTTATCAAAGGTAAATACATGATAACACTATTACCTGTTTTTTCAGAAAATAAAAAGTGACCAAATAATATCATTATGTAATACCGAACTTTCACAATTTTTCTTGCTCGGTAGAGTTTTTGGTTATTACGAGACTACTATGATGTTCTCTAAGGAGACGAAGATTAATACCTTGGCCTCTAGACCCTTGTTCAAATAAACAGGCTCCCAAAAGTTCCTCGCATATGGCGTTGTCTTGGTTGACTCGGTCATTGACAACTTTACCATCGATCGGTTGACCGAATAACATATACATGTCCTCTAGTGTGACAGTACGTTCACCACATAAAAGATGAAAAATGTGAGTTTCGAGTCTCCATCTTTCCACTAATGCGAGAATAATTTTATAGTCAACATGATAATTGATTATGTTGAGTAACAGACCAAAACCGGCTTGTAGTAAGTACGGTTTAATTTGTACGTCTTAAGGAACATATTCATGGACACGACAACAAAGTCTTTTAACATCCTATTAAAAAAATGAACTACGTATAAGAAATATAAGATTTACGTATAACAATCATAAGAATTACAGAAATCAAATTTGTTGACAAATAATAGGTATTGAAGAAAATAAACTTACAAAGGTTTCAATGTTGTTGAGAGTTCCTCTATGTTGGTCACCCGTGGTCACGAGAGCCATTTTTTCTTGATTACTTTTGTGTTCTTATTGATGTTTCAAGAAAGAAATAGTGTGTGAGTTATGATTGTGATGAAAATATAATGTGAATGTTATATGTATTTATAGAAAAATATGGATAAATACTATGCATTTACGTGAGAATGCTCTGCATGCAATTAACACCTAGGCGCCAATGGCACATCCTTTTATTTTTACATTAAGGCGTCATTCAACATGGCTTGTTCCTTTTTGCATGCATGTAAAGATGCAGCGTGACAGTGATCAGATGACATGCATGCAAGCTTGTCGTTCACGTGACAAACCACATAAGTTGGCACATGTTTACAAAAATTAGAGGACAAGTAAGAAATTTCAATTTAAATTCAGGTTTTGATTTCATGTTCAAGTTAACATTCAATTACAACAACCTTGAGATAATAGCCAAAAAAATTACAACACAACAAACTCAGGATAACTATCCAAAATACAACATGATCAGAAGACAAAACAACTAAACACATCATAACATCTAAGAGATAAAAATTATCAACACGATATCTTATGGTCCAAGCATCATCATCATGACATCAACGTCGCATCACACCTTTTCCATGAACGACTTACTCCTTTTTTATTCTTCACTGCAATTTGTCTTTCTATTTTTCTGATCTGTTCACCTTCAGGAATGTCTCATTCCAACCAGTGAATCAAGTTCCTCTGAAAGTGCTCGAACGTCTGCGTGTTCCAGAGTTTGATCTTCATCAAAGGCTTTGTTTCCGAAAAAATAACATGAACATCTCTTTTGATCAGTGGAAACTTTGACAATGGAGTGGAAAACATTGGCAAGTGAGTGAAAGACATTTTCTAAGAGTGATGTGAGAAATAGTGTGAAAAATGGTGAAGATGGATGGTTGCATTTATAGAAAACTAAATACAAACTTCAAGCCATTTAGTATGGTGACTCCTCCTTAAAATTACATGCATGCGCCACACTGCATGACACTACTGTCATACCCCAAATTTGCCCAATCCCTAATTATATCTAAGGTTTCTTTAAATAAATCGTATTATTTAATTTTCATATTTATAGGGATATTTAAAATCAGAGAGGGGTGTAACAATCCAAAATGGACCATCAATATCTGATGGTCTATTAAGCTTTAATAAAAGCTCATTTCAAATTAAGAGAAATGTATTTGTTTCAAAAGGGGTGTGAACGGATCATAAGACCCATTTAAAATTGGTGTATAAAACATTTTATTTTGTTTAAAGCCCAATAACCAAAACTGTATGGCCCATTTCAGGTTTCAGATTCTTGTTTTAAAAAAAATATTTTGTTAATAACATTATTATTACTATTATTTCATTATAATTAATTATTATTATTATTATTTATTATAATTAGTATTATCATATTAATAATAACATCATTTTTATTGAGGTTGTTTTTTTATTAATTTGTAAAAAGAAAAAACATTGGACTAAAAGGCCAGGGACTAAGTAGGCTTTTATTTTTAAAGTGTTATTGTTTCAACAAACTTGCAGGCCTAAAACGATCATTATAAGCCCAAAATAAACAACAAAAATAGACATGGCCCATTGTTGTGAAAGAAATTGCATATTTTACTAAGCATTGTCATCAACCAATGTCACATAATATATAGAAGTTCTTTCTTTTAGACAAACTGTTTTATTGAAATTAGATTATTATAGAGTCACCGCTTGGGATGCAGGCCCGGTTTAAAACGTGCGCAAATCAGGCCCAAGTCTGGGTTTAAGAAAAAAGGACATCCGTATCGAATGCACA